AATAAAATAAAAGTGCCAGAGTTGCTAAGTACCCCTGCTATTTACGTAACAGCTTGCATACCAGGGTACCCCGGCTAAGTACTGTACAGCTAATATCCCCAACTACGTAGTTATATACAGCATGATACTCATGTACAGTCGAGGACAAAAGTTCGCTCCCGTGGTGAAACCGAGCTACGGGAATGCGTGTCCAAATTGACTTACCATGAGTGATTCATCTTCATTTTTTGACGTAAATATTACTGTACAGTAGGTGGTAGCGATCCCTGTTCACACGTAGAGGTCCAAGGTTCGATTCCCGACGAGTGAGGTATTGTTTGTATATGGAAGGCCACATGCTATATGGACTGACGAGATATAATAACCTGGTGTTTACGGCACAGCTATTTGTATTCTCACTCAACATATAGAAGAAATCACCAGGATAAGAGGAGACAGCACAGGCAATACCCTTGACCTGTTGTTCAGTAACGAAGAATCTATAGTAGGAGATATCAAGCTGGAGAGTCCACTGGGAAAGAGTGACCATGCCTGTATTTATTTCCATTGTGACACACAGGAGATGGAAGACAAAAGTAAAAAACAAGTGTACATGTATGAAAAGGCGGATTACCTACTGAAGAAGCAAAGGCTTACGATGGACTGGATCCAATACTTATCATTGGAACCAGACATTGAAAGTAAGTGGAATAAGTTCAAAGGAAAATTCCAGGCAGTCATTGACGAGTGTGTCCCTAAGAAGATAATCAGAGGACTGAGGGTTAGCAGAAAAAGAACAAATGAAAAATTACCTATGAACAGGAAGCTCTGGGCTAAAGTGAAGAAAAAACAGAGACTGTGGGAGAGACTGAAAATAATGAAAACGAAGTTCAATGAAAGAGCATGCACAAGGGAGATGTATCTGGAAACTGAAAAGGAATACAGGAGATAAAATAACCGGGTCAGATGGGAAACTAGAAACATCTTGAAATGCAAAGAACAAGAGATTGCAAAAAATGTTAAGGCAAATCCAAAAGTGTTCTGGAAGTATGTACAGACAAAAACAAGAACAAAAGCTAGAATTGAAGATCTTTACAAGGATGAGGAAAAAGTACAGAAGACTGTGAATGATCAAGAAAAGGCAGATGTACTCTCAGAGCAATTCTCACGAGTTTTTATCAAGGAACCAGATAGGGGGATACCAACAACCAACAAGAAAGACGTGCCAGCTCTTCAACACCTGGAGATAACCGAGGGCAAAATAAGAAAGGTGATTCAAAAATTGAAAAGACAGAGGTCTCCTGGTCCAGATGGGTTACATCCAAGAGTCATTAAGGAGATGATGGAGGAACTACTTCAGCCTCTGAGGATCTTGTTTGAAAGCTCTTTTCAAGAAGGAAATATACCCGAGGACTGGCGTATTGCATATATCACTACTATCTATAAGAAGGGAAGTAAAAATGAACCAGGAAACTACAGGCCAGTCAGTCTAACTAGTGTAATCTGCAAATTAATGGAGTCAATATTACGGGAAGAGATGATATCCCATATGAGAAAATATGGATTGTTTAGTAATAAACAGTTTGGCTTCATTTCCGGCAGGTCAACAGTCCGACAGTTGATTAGGGTACTTGACAGGTGGGCGGAAATTATCAATGACAGTCAGGCTGTGGACATAGTGTATTGTGACTTCATGAAGGCTTTTGATAGAGTACCCCACAAAAGACTATTAGAAAAAGTATCTAGTTATCGCATTGATGGAAAATACCTTGATTGGGTAAGGAATTTTTTAACTAAGAGAAAACAGAAGGTTGTGGTAAATGGAGAAGTATCTGACTGGAGAGAGGTCACTAGTGGGGCCCCTCAGGGTTCTGTCCTCGGCCCCCTGCTGTTTGTCCTTTTTATCAATGACCTGCCTGAGGCAATTAAACACGACAGTGAGGTATATCTATATGCGGATGACACAAAGATTTTTAGGAAAATACAACGAGATGAGGATTGTGACATGCTGCAAGAGGACCTGGATGGGATCAGGGGTTGGACTGAGAAGTGGATGCTGAACTTTCACCTAGAAAAAAGTTAATACACGAGGATAGGAAGAAAAAAACCTACTGACCAGGGATATCATTTTTTTTACGGGAATTAGCCCACCCGGGCACAGGTCAAACGACCCACAACGGAGCCTGGGGGGCGAAAAAAAAAAAAGAACGGAAAGAAATCGAAAATATAGAAAAAAGGTTACCCCGGTATACTGTATTAATCTACACCACGAAGATGCCGGAAAACCAGCTTTTTAAAGTGAGACAGATTGTAAGAGCATGGAAACACAGAAGAAGGCAGAGCATTCCACAGTTTGGCTGTGTGAGGAAAGAAGGAGGTACTATAACGGGCTATTCTCGTGTGACCGACATCCACAGAGAAATGGTGGGCACCGCGGGCAAGGCGTGTGTTACGAACCCACGGCCTTGCCGGCGGTACACAGGATGCCAAATCCACTGAACATTGCCCGTTAAAGTACCTGTAAAAGAGAGTGAAGCAACATTGCGGCGAAGAGAAAGGGGAGAGAGATTGTCGACTAAAGGAGGAGAGTTAATAAGACGAAATGTCTTTGATTCCACCCTATCTCATAGTTGGACAGAAGAAGATCCACCCCAGATATGAGAGCAGTACTCCAAGTTAGGACGAATGAATCCCTTATATACTTGGAGCAACTGCTCAGGAGTGAAGTAGCAGCGGCATCTGTACAGCAATCCCAACTTTCGGGAGGTAGCTTTAGTTATACTAAGGATGTGTGATTTCCAGGACATATTGGAGGAAATGGTGAGGCCTAACATATTTATTTCAGAATTTGGGAGGATGATAGCGTCCTGAAATGTAATTGGTGGGAGATCGTCTAATTTACAAAGTGTAATTGGTAAATATTGAGTTTTGTTACTATTGAACTTAACCAAGTTTGTATCAACCCATTCAGAGATGCTGCACAGATCCGCGTTGATAGAAGTAATGATATCAGTTCTAGAAACAGATCTAGTTTGAGATTAGGAGGAAGGGGAAAATGTGAGGAAGAGTGAAGAGTAGAATCATCGGCGTAAGAATGGAGAGAATTAGTTGTAGTGTGAAGTAAATCATTGATAAAAAGAAAGAAGAGAGTTGGTGAAAGAACAGAACCCTGTGGGACGCCACTATTGGTAGAGAAAGAGCGAGAAATCGAACCCTCGACAACAACTGCCATGGATCGATTCTCAAGGAAGCTAGAGATGAGAGAACAAAGTGGGGGAGAGAAACCAAAAGAGGGAAGTTTAGATAGCAAAGACTTGTGCCATATCCTGTCAAATGCTTTGGAGATGTCAAGGGCCACGACAAAGGTTTCCCCACAATCCCTAAGAGAGGATGACCAAAGATGGGTGCAATAGGAGAGCAGATCACCAGTAGATCTCGCCTGGCGAAAGCCATACTGGTGATCCGACAAAAGAGAAAGGCGTTCAAGGTGACGGAGAAAATGGGAGTTCAAGATAGATTCGAAAATCTTAGAGAGGGATGTACACCACGATCAAGAAGACGACTGTAGAGAAGGATATAGGGGTAGTCATCGATGATAAGCTGACGTTCTCTGACCATCTAGCTGAGAAAATCAACAAGGCTAATAAAATAGTGGGCAAAAATTAGAAGAACTTTTGATCATCTGGATGCACCTATATTCAAGGCTCTGTACACAGCTCTGGTTAGGCCACACCTTAAGTATGCTAATCAAATTTGGTGCCCATATCTCATTAAGGATATTGAAGCAGTAGAGAATGTACAGAGGAGGGCTACCAAATTAGTACCACATATCAAGGATTTATCTAATGAGGAAAGACTAAGGAAATTACAGTTACCGACACTGGCGTACAGAAGATCTCGTGGGGACCAAGTGGAAACATACAAGATAGTGTGTGGCATATATGACCAGGCATGTACAGCAGGAATGTTCCAGATGAGGGAGGCTGACACTACCCGGGGGAACACAAAGAAGATCTACAAAACAAGAGCGAGGCTAAATCTCAGAAGACATTCGTTCCCGAGTAGGGTTGTTAACAACTGGAATGGGTTACCTGAGTGAGTAGTGAGTGTGGAGGCGGTGGAAAAGTTTGAAGCAAAATTAGATAAATACTGGAAAAATCAAGATCAAGTATATAATTATAGGGCACAAATATCCGCCACACACAACCACCGTCTGAGTAGAGAAGAGGCTATTGAGCTGGAGTCACAGGCGTGAGCCTCTTCCAGAAGATCATCTGTGAGTATCTGTGATATAATTTTTATGATTTTAGTTAGGTTAGGTTAGGTTAGGTTAAGAACTGTATACTGTACTGAAGTTTCTTTTAAAATTTATGTTTTTTAAAGACTATGGAGACCCTAGGTATTAAACTTGCATTGTTATTTGCTATGACGATATTGATGGGTAAATAAAAATTAATTTCAGTGTTTTTATATTATTGTGTCAGTACTGTATCTATAACCCTAACCACACATGGATCATTACCAATTTAACCACAGGTTACCTGGCGACACACTCTTGTTAAATAGCCGAGATACCAGTTTATACAAACTCTAACGTAGGTTCTTTGTATATATGTGTGTGTGTATATATATATATATATATATATATATATATATATATATATATATATATATATATATATATATATATATATATATATATATATATATATATATATATATATATATATATTAGGTACGGTTTAACCTGAACCCTTGTTCTAAATTATTACTTCTACTGTATTAATGACTATCTAGCCGAAAACTAATATTGTGGGTAATTTTATCAGTTAAAATACTGGAAAAACATAAATTTATGGCGGAAAAGCTTCGGAATAAACTACGTACTTTTAGTTTTTTATCTTTCTCCCTAATTAAGACTCAATATATACAGTAAGTGGTGTAGGTGTTGGCAATTTCTAGAGTGACACAGTTCTGAAAGCTATCATGACAATTTCAAAACAAAAAGTGATAAAACTTACCTGGTAAACTGGCACCACCACGGGACCTGGCCAGGGAGGCTAGGGAGTATGTGATGAGCAAAGAGTCCAGCAGTGGCTTTGTGATGTGGGAGTAGAGGTGGGCAACGCTGGACGTGAAGGCCATGATGTCCTCGGTGAGGCAGTGATCGGCATTCTCCAACCGGCCGTCCAGGTTCGAGACTCGATAATAACACTGGTTTTTGAAGTATAGGTCATACGAATAACGCGTGAGACGAGTACGGAACGTGAGTGCAAGGTGTGATTCCAAGAAACGGATCATGGAGTTGACAAACGTTGCAGGTATGGCAATGGTAATCCATTTTGTCATCATCAGGGCAAACTTGGCTACGTCCTTACGTACAATATATTTGACGACTCTCCCCTCCAATTGTGCCACGTATATAGAAAGGAAGGTGCGAGCGATGAGGGTGACAGTGTGGATGAAAAGGATGATGGATGACTTACACCACACAGTAGGGATAACAATTTTCACTAGCTTCTTGAGCTGCACGAAGAACTCCTTGTTGACTGTGGGACCTTTCTTCTTGTATTTGGCTTCATTCTTTGCTGCCTCTAGCTGTTCTTTGGTGGGTTGGACCTTACAAAGTTCCTTGATCTTTGGATATATTATTTTATATATATATAAAGCTACAACTAAGGACATTCCACCTCGAGTTACTGTCGCCTCACTCACATTCAGCCTCAAAGACGTCTCCCTGATAAGTTTTGAAGCGGCGTTTGTCATTTTTCCCGTAGCTACCACGACACTCACACTTAAATTATTATCATGAAATGGCCGGAAATATGTCCAGGAGAGGATTATTATGACAAAACCGAGGAGCAGCAAGACAGTAGGGGGCAGCAGCGGGAGCGAGGAGCGACACGGTCTACCCAGCCGCCTCACAACACTGACCTCGGGCAGACGACGGTGTTGTCCTCCGACCAACACTGTTTACTACTTCACCGACACTCTGATAATACTCTCTTAATGGTATCTTAATATTTTCTTATTTCTAGATATTTTCTCACTAAAACTATCGATTATACTTTTTCACTTGTAGTATCTTACTAATTCTTTACTATCTGTTAGTAATCTCTTTGTACTTAGATATAATAAAGCACACACTCGCTGAGTATCTCTTCTTTTATCCTCTTCACCAAACGATCAGCTCGTTAGCCGCTTGGGCGATCGGTCACGTCTCTGTCACGCACTGTTGGCAAATACTGGGCATGCACCGGCTCCTGAATATAAATGAACCTGCTCCAGTGTTGATCAAGTCTGGTCTTGAAAGAGCTCACACTCGGTGCCGTCACAACACTTTCTGGTAGATTGTTCCAAGAGTTCACAACTCTCACTCCGAAAAAGTTTGCCCTCACAGTTGTGAACTATTGGAACAATCTACCAGAAAGTGTAGTGACGGCACCGAGTGACCCGAACAGCTAGTAAGCTGATACGTGGTGAAAAAAGACTAAATAGTGCTAACCCGTGTGTTCTATTGTTAAGTACTGTAGCAACAAACGATCTATACTTCATATTGTTATGCACTGTTGGCATGAATGTGGCCACTAGATATCTCACACTCAGGACAAGGTAGGAGGGAAACTCAAAATGCGTTTTATTTATATATTGTAAGTACAGTGCAGTGCTAGGGAGTTGCCGTGTGAGCTCTTTCAAGACAAGACTTGACCAACACTGGAGCAGGTTCAGGTACATTCAGGAGCCGGTGCATGTGTAGTGTATACTCTCCCCTACAACAGCCTAGCCGCATCCCATAGCAACGGACTGAACTGAACTGCATAATCGAGGTGCGGCCTGACTAGCGCAAGATATAGTTGCGATAAGACCTCTGCACTCTTATTACTTACAGGCAAATGTAGTACCCATATTCAAAGAGGGAGACAGAGCATCAGCGTCAATTTACCGGCCGATTAGTTTGACGTCAGTAGTGGGGAAATTTCTTGAATCAATTATAGCGAATAGCATCCGATCGCATTTAGAGAAAAGCAAATTAAAATACGACTTTCAATATGGGTTTACAAAGGGAAAATCTTATCTAACAAATCTGCTGACGTTTTATAGGAAAGTCTTCGAGGTAGTAGATAATGACGAAAATTACGATGTTATTTACTTAGACTTAAGCAAAGCATTTGACAGAGTACCACATCAGAGGCTTCTGAGAAAAATTAAGGCTCATTGCATTGAGGGGAAAGTTTTAAATTGGATAAAATCATGGCTCACCGATAGAACGCAGAGGGTCAGCGTAGATTGTGTTAAATCTGAGTGGGGCTGTGTAACCAGTGGGGTTCCCCAGGGGTCAGTACTGGGCCCACTCTTGTTCATAATCTACATAAACGATCTAGATACTGGGATCAGCAGTGACATAAGCAAGTTTGCGGATGACACCAAAATAGGGCGGTAGAATAATTCAGGGCAGGATGCAAATGCATTGCAGGAGGATCTATATAAACTGCAGAGGTGGTCTGAAAAATGGCAAATGAAATTCAACACCGGCAAGTGCAGCGTACTTAACATTGGAAGAACAAATACTCTCAATGTATACAGCCTTAACAACATCAACCTAGAGAAGTCGACTTGTGAAAGAGACCTAGGGGTACTTGTAAGCCCGGCAATTTCGGCGTGGGAGATTACTCCCATCTTCAGGTTGTCCCAATCGTGGACAATCATTTTTATCTGGATTCCGTTGATGTCGAGGATCTCCGCGAGTTGTACGGGCATACCATACTCGGCGAAGGTGATCTTGATGTCTCCATGCAGCTTCAGTCGTTCCACCTTGGTAACCCCCACGCTCCCTTTAGTTTCAAAGAACTTTTTGAACATAAGAATGGAGGAAACTGCAGTGGGCCTATTGGCCCATACTGGGCAGTCCCGTTTACACCCAACCTCTATTGCTCATATGAGCATCCAACCTATGTTTGAAGCAATTCAGCGTATTCGAGTTAGTGATGATATTTGGTAACTTGTTCCATTCATCCACTACTCTGTTTCCAAACCAGTGTTTACCTATTTCACGCCTAAATCTAAATTTGTCTAATTTAAAACCATTGTTACGAGTTCGCTCCTGGTTGGATAATTTGAGTACCTTTGTAATGTCCCCTTTGTTTAGCCCTGCCTTCCACTTATACACCTCTATCAGGTCGCCCCTCGCTCTACGTCTCTCAAGGGAGTGCAAATTAAGATGCTTTAACCTGTCTCTATACTCAAGGTTCCTAATGCCCGGGATTAGTCATGTCATTCTCCTCTGAATTCTTTCCAAGGATTCTATATCCATTCTGTAATACGGTGACCAGAACTGAACTGCGTAATCCAGGTGTGGTCTCACAAGAGCAAGATACAGTTTTAGGATGACCTCGCTAGTCTTGTAACTAACACTCCTTTGTATGAACCCAAGTACTTTATTAGCCTTGTTACGAGCAAAAACACATTGTTTACTTGGCTTAAGGTTCCTACTTATCATTACTCCTAAATCTCTCTCGCAGTCGGATTTCTCTATGGCATCGTTGTTCATCTGGTATCTGGTTTCCCTGTTTACATCTCCTATACTGAGTACTTTACATTTGTCGACGTTGAATTTCATCTGCCATTTTTCAGACCATTCGAAAAATTTGTTTAGATCTTCCTGTAGTTTTGCGAGTCCTCGTCAGATTTGATAACACGTCCTATTTTAGTGTCATCAGCAAATTTACTTATGTTGCTGTCTATGCCGATATGTATGTCGTTTATGTATATAATAAATAATAATGGTCCAAGTACTGAGCCTTGGGGAACTCCACTTGTGACGTTGCTCCAATGGGACTTAGTGCCGTTAATGCTCACTCGCTGTTTCCTGTCCTGTAACCACGCCCTAATCCATTTAAGGATGTCACCTTTGATGCCATGAGCTTCTACCTTTCTAATTAGTCTTTCGTGGGGGACTCTGTCGAAGGCTTTGCTAAAGTCGAGATATACCACATCATAATTGTGCCCCTCGTCCACCGATTCGAAAACTGATGAAAAGAATGTTAATAGATTAGTTAGGCAAGAACGTCCGCTTGTGAAGCCATGCTGGGAATCATTGATCAATCGGTGCTTCTCCAGGTGATTTCGAATAGAGTTTGAGATGATTGCTTCCAGTAATTTGCCTACTATTGATGTTAGACTGATTGGGCGGTAGTTAGAGGATAGTGATCTATCCCCCTTCTTGAAAATCGGTATTACATTCGCTATTCTCCAGGATTCTGGTACTACACCTGTTTTTAAGGACATGTTAAACAACTTTGCTAAGGGCATACTAAGCTCTTCCTTACATTCCTTTAATACTCTGGCAAATATCTCATCGGGACCAGGTGACTTATTAGGCTTTAGTTTGTCTATTTGCTTACTAACATCGTTACTAGTCACTACTATCTCATTTAATTTGTTTTCTTCACTATCTCTGAATAGAGTCGGTGCCTCGGGTATCATGTTTAAATTTTCGGTGGTGAAAACTGTTGAAAAATATTTATTCAAATTATTGCTCATTTCTCCGTCGTTATCAGTGAGCTGCCGGAGTCTGACCTTATTGGTCCAATCTTTTCTCGTGTTTTAGTTTGATACATTTGGTAGAATCCTTTGGGGTTTGTCTTCGCCTCCCTTGCTATCCTTACCTCATTATTCCTCTTTGCTTTCCTTATCTCGGTTTTAACCCTACTCGCCAATACCCTATAATAGTCCCGGAGGTGAATTTCGCCACGATTTATCCTTCTACCTATAGCCTTCCTTTGGCAGGTCGGCTTATTCGGGCGTATCCGCGCCGCCTTGTCGAATTCGTAACCGTTCATGGTGAGAGGCGCTAGGTTAGACGGCGAGAATGGGAGCTTATATACACGTCCAGCGGACGTGGAACGGAAGTACAAGTTGCCGGTGTCGACCCCCCCCCCATGTCTAGACACGTCAGAGAAACTTGGCGCGACTCTAGGCGGAGAACAGGACCCAAACAGGACTGAATGGACACTCCAAGAGAGCAAGAAGAGGAGAAGAGTAAGAAGAAAATCAACTTCAAGCTAACAAGAATACCAAGACATTTCCTCCAAACAAGAAAACACCACACCCAATCAAGCCGACCAAGTACTGAGAAACTATTGCCCAACCCAACACGCACCTGACGCTCACCTGACTCTGGGTCCTGCCACCTCCTCGCCGCGTCCGGGCGGGTTGCTGCTGCCTCCAACTTAAAACCCAAAATAACGCAAGCGGTGTTTAGCCACGGCACCTTTCTCTCCTTCTAAAATTCACTTCAATCCTCCCTTTATCCTTCCCCTGAACCTCCCCCCCCCCCTGTCACTAGCATTTAAGTCAAGGCAAGTCGTGTAGGGAGATTCAACCAGGAGGCCAGCAACACGCAACACCTCCTCTAACGAAGCTCCTGCACAGCAACTCAGCACGCTACTCACCCAACAAGACCTCTGAGCAAGCTTCTCACCACACGGCAACTCCCTAGCACTGCACTGTACTTACAATATATAAAGAAAACGCATTTTGAGTTTCCCTCCTACCTTGTCCTGAGTGTGAGATATCTACTGGCCACATTCATACCAACAGTGCATAACAATATGAAGTATAGATCGTTTGTTGCTACAGTACTTAACAATAGAACACACGGGTTAGCACTATTTAGTCTTTTTTCACCACGTATCAGCTTACTAGCTGTTCGGGTGGTTGGTCTATTCAGTGTTTGTACAGTAGGATGTAGGAAATCGGAGTCAGAGAAACATGTGATGCTAGGCCAAGCAGTCTCGAACCCTTGACATATTCGCCAAATATACATTTTTTTTTTACGGGGATTAGCCCACCTGGGCACAGGTCACTGACCCTCATCGGGGCCTAGGGGGCGAAAAATGTAATAATAATAATAATAATAATAATAATAATAATAATAATAATAATAAACAACAATAATAATAATAATAATGAACCATAAAGAAAAAAATCAAGAGTGAGAAATAATATATGTATGTTGTGTTGTCAAAGTAAGAGAAACAATTGAGACCCTGCACTTGTGTGTAAATGAGGCAGAAAGTCAGATCAGCAACCTGGGACTTGGTCACAATTTTCGTGATGTCATATGGCAGCAGGGTCTACCATTAGACAACACATTCTGCTTCCAATATCTTCCCAGGCAGTAGTACCTCCCTGTTTGGTAGCCGCCTACTACCCAATGGAAGCCCCTCGAAGTCGAGGATGGCCGTCCCAAGGGCCTCCTAGGCGTGAATTTGTTAAGGTGTAGAAGCTGTTGCCAACCTCAACCACCACACCCTAAGTTAACGCGCTGCATGACCCAGTGTCACGGAATAGTCCGAGAAGACTGGACAGCTCGCCAACTGCACTGGCTAACCATTACCCCGGAATACGATCCGCAAATCGATTAATATCCAGGTTCCCAATTACTGCTGGGTAGACAGAGGCAAAATGGCGTAAAGAAAGTTGCGAGGCGAGGATACTGACCATTGCACCTGGGGCGTACCAACGGTAAGGAGGCGTATCATATGTCCCAACGGGATGAAGAAACTGCACTAGTTGAGACTGTGTGTGAGAAGGACCTAGGTGTGTATGTTGACAATGAGCTGAAGTTATCTGGCCATTGTGAGAAGAAGGTAAATCAGGCAAATAAATTATTGGGTCTTATAAGAAGGTCGTTCAGATATCTAGACGGTCCGTCCCTCGTAACGATCTTCAGGAGTGAAGTGCTAACCCCATCTGGAGTACTGTCACCCCATCTGGTCCCCAAGATATGCTAGGAACTGTCAGTTAGTTGAAAATGTTCAAAGGAGGGCCACCAGACTGGTGCCTGCACTTCGGCACCTCAGCTACCCTGAGAGATTGGAGCGCCTGAACTTGCCTAGCTTATACTACAGACGGGCAAGGGGGGATCTAGTTGAGGTGTATAAGCATCTCAGGGGGCACTACTCAGTTGAGTGTCCTTACTTGGAGCTGGCGGACGCTCTCCCCACAAGGGGTCACAGCTCAAGATTGAAGAAGCCGCAAGTCCAGAAAACTGTGAGGGCAAACTTTTTTGGAGTGAGGGTTGTAAACTCTTGGAACAATCTACCAGAGAGTGTTGTGACGGCACCGAGTGTAAGCTCTTTCAAGACAAGACTTGACCAACACTGGAGTGGGTTCAGGTACATTCAGGAGCCGGTGCATGCCCAGTATTTGCCAACAGTGCGTGACAGAGACGTGACCGATCGCCCGGGCGGCTCGCGAGTCGATCTTTTGGTGAAGAAGATAAATGAAAAGGAAAAGTAATCAGAGACGTGACCGATCGCCCAAGCGGCTAACAAGCCAATCAGTGGCGAAGAGGATAAAAGTAAAAAAAGTAAAAGTATGACCATTACACCTACTACCTGCGATACGCATGTTACTGTTGTATTGTAGTGGATTCCTCCCCTACAAGCACCGAACCTTCTCGAATGCCCCAGCCTACGCCTCCAGCGCCGCCTACGGAGCGGGGGTCAACTATCAACCCACGCCTACCCCCGCCTTATAAGGCCTGACACCGCTGTGACCAGCCGCTTTCTACCCAGTGCCACCAGAAGCAAGACTTCCTCCTCCGCGCCAGCCTGGCGGCTCCCGCTCCCGCCGGCGACCTAGGCGTCCCTCAAGCCGTGTGCCCTCACTCTGGGCACCCTCACCACCCAGCTCTCTCTACTCATCGCTTGTTACCATGCTACCTACACAGCAACAAGCTGCATTGTACATCCAATACAATATGTATACAGTGAGCACATTGTGAGTTTCCTTTCTCCATCCCATCCTGAGTGTGAACCAATATCTCATACCCCAACAGTATTGTAGTGGATACCTCCCCTACAAACGCTGTTTGTCGCTGAGTATCCGACTCCGCGAATTCCCCAGTGTATGCCTTGTGGTCTAGGTCAACCAGCGCCGCCTTACATGACGGAGGTCAACTATTAAGCCACGCCTACCTCTGCTATATAAGACCTGACCTCGTGGTGACCACTCTCTTTTCTACCTACAGCCAGTCTTCAAGCAACACCTCCTCCTCCTCCTGCCTGGCGGCCCTCGCTCCCGCTGGCGAGCATGGCGACCCACAAGCTGGTCCTCCTCTGAGCACCCTCACCAACCAGCTCTCTCTACATCACGCTTGTAACCACGCTGCCACTTCCCAGCACCAAGCTGCACTGTACATCCAATACAAAATGTATACAGAGAGCACATTGTGAGTTTCCTTTCTCCATCCCATCCTGAGTGTGAACCAAAACATCACGCACCCCACAAATGGTGACCCCCGGAGATTCGCACTCACACAGGACGGAGGAGAAACTGATCACTCTCCCAGTCTTCAAGCAACATGGAAGACTGGCTTATCCACACAGAAGCAGCTCTCATCGGCTCTACAACTACTGTCTCTACACCGCAGGTTAGACATCCTAGAGCAGCACTGCTTCTCTAAGCAGATACCAGCTCCTCTTCCTGCCCCAAGCACCACGTTCTACCGGCCCCAACACACCCGTCCTGCCTCAGACGCCGCCCAGGCCCAGCAGTACCCCCTGCCTTTCCTCCTGACGCGGCCCCTGCTCCTGACGCGGACCCACACACCCCTCTTTTCTCCCTCAGGTACACCCTGCTACTGTCCTGCACCCTGCTGCTGTCGTGGACCCAGCTGCTGTCACGGACTCTCCTCCGCTCCTGCTGACGCAGCCCCTGCTCCTGACCCAGGCCCACACATCCCAGCAGGCGCATCTGACGACTCTGTACCTGCCGTGAGGGAAGCACAACATTCATCGTCTCCACACACCCTTTTTCTCCCTCTCTACTCCCACAGACATTGTGTATCTAGACAGTTGTCTCCTCTGGCGGCCGGCTCATCTACGCCCTCGCCGTTCTGCCTCACATGAGGCATGCACCGCCCGTTCTGCCTCACGTGTGCCATGCAACCCTGCAGACAACAAGTCTCCTACACCGCCTGGAGGGAAGGGGGAGTACTGTAGTGGATACCTCCTCTACAAACGCTGTTTGTCGCTGAGTAGCCGACCCCGCGAATTCCCCAGTGTATGCCTCGTGGTCTAGGTCAACCAGCGCCGCCTTTCATGACGGAGGTCAACTATTAAGCCACGCCTACCTCCGCTATATAAGACCTGACCTCGTGGTGACCTAGCTCTTTTCTACTTACACCAACCAGCAAGCAACACCTCCTCCTCCTCCTGCCTGGCGGCCCTCGCTCCTGCCGGCGAGCATGGCGACCCACAAGCTGGTCCTCCTCTGAGCACCCTCACCAACCAGCTCTCTCTACTCAACGCTTGTAACCATGCTGCCTTCCCAGCACCAAGCTGCACTGTACATCCAATACAATATGTATACAGAGAGCACATTGTGAGTTTCCTTTCTCCATCCCAGCCAGAGTGTGAACCAACACATCTCGCACCCCACAGTATCACCAACACTCCTTTGAATATGATCATATTAAAAGTTTTTTCTTGTATATTTAGATTTATTTACAAAACACAAATCATAAATAAAGAGTTAGTTAAAGTTGATTTTGCGATATTTGGTATTAAGTAAGACCAATTACAAACACCCAAAGTTTATCCTTAAGCAAGACATCTTTGTACTTTATACAGAACAAATTACGGGAGATGATTTTTCTTAATTTAGTTTTTAAGTCGTAATATATAATTTACTGGGTAATTTAATTTATAAATACTTGAATTCATCTAAAATTCCATAGATAATGTTGTTGAAAAAAGATTCAATAGATGTGTAGGATGAAGTAAGTTGTAAACAAACAGTGCAGCTGTGTCAGGTCACCCAGTGAGAGGTGTTGACGAGAGGTGTTGATGAGAGGTGTTATCACTGAAACAAGGTGGTCCTCTCACCCCTGACAGTGTAACGGGTCACTTGTTATAGTGAGGTAATACAGTGTGTCAATTGTAATATAAGAGTAAAGTGCTTCATTCATTAGTTTCCCTACAGTACAGTATTACAGTGGAGTTTGATGTCTCGAGCCAGTTATGTGAACGGTAGTACAATACTGTAATATTAATATATTTATATAGGTAGAGATTCGTTAGTGACCATAACGAGAAATTAAGGTAAATTTGTATTGTCACACCGTTCACTATTTGCAAGTAAAAATTTTTTTTCTAGTATATTTGTGTATGACCTTCATTTTTGGCGGAAATTAGCCGGGTTTTTTAGCGATTTTTTTCGTTTGACGTTTTCTGAAAAAAGTGGCTAAGCGACAAAAAAATACAAAAAAAAAACACTAGAAAAAACAAAACCTAACTTAACCAAACCTAACCTAACTTAACTGACTCTCACCATAAGATGGAATCACCTATTTCTTACCTTATTGGCCTGGTTCTTGTTCGTCGTTGCATTCTGGGATTCTTACCCAACGCCACATATGTTGGTCTTTGCGATATTTACATTCAGTCTTGCTCTTGGTACACTTTACTGAGGTTGGAAGAACACCATGCGATCGAAAAATGCTATAGTTTCTACGTTTTTTTTCCAAGAACTCGCAATCAGCTCCATATACTTTAAGTGACATCCATCGCAGACTTCCATGGTCGGAACTGAATTTGAATTTCAAAATATGAGACCCAAAATAAAATTCGATTTTGATTGGGCCAAATATACTCTGAATTAGAAAAAATGCTTTTAATTGGCCGCACGACGTGCACGGGTAAGCATGCGCGTCATGATTTATGAAGGAGACGCGAGAGACACGCAGTGTTGGGTGAGAGGCAGACGATAATAGCGGGAAATAATGGAAGAAAATAGAAATTTATTTGGAAAAGCTATCTCCGTTATTGTACATTTCCGCCGGTAATGTAATAGATGAAAATTATCTTATAATTAGACGTCTTATTCGTATGATAATAGATTAGTGGTAGGAATGAACGGTGTGTAAACGCAATAACACCGAAATTAATAACCAAAATAGGTTTAGTAATTTATGAGGAAACTGCTACCACCAGAAAACGTTTATGGATGTTCTTTGTTTCTTGTTGGTTTTGTTGAGTGCGAGTAGTTTAGAAGGTAAGCCTACTTCATATTTTGGGTAAAATTGCAGTTTCGGCCAATCTGCCCTAATAGTTTAGAAATTAGTTTATCCTGTGTATTTTGGTGTGATTTTTAATAGAATTTTACCTTTATTTCCGGGAAGTTAACCCCCCCCCCCCCAAATATGGAAAAACTTTAAGATTCATTTCTGACATTATTCTTTGTCCCCTGGTTGAAATGGGGTTAGAAATACTCCAAATAAGATCTAAAGGTTGGGGAAGGTTAAAACAGTTGGCCGTGTATTGGCCGAAATCGCAAAAAAAAACATTTTTACTTTAATTATTTATTTGTTTTCCTATTTAGGTTAGATAAACTGATTTTTCGGTGGTTTTCACCGATTTTGACATTCATTTGTATCGGAAATCAATAGTTTTTGAGGTACTCGTGCCCCCTTATCCCCAGTGGGATTCAGGGGTTTTGGGATGGGGAAAATCACAAAAACCAGTTATTCCCGATAGAAATGAATGTCAAAATCGTTCAAAACACATAAAAAAACATCGGGAAAACATAGTTGCCAAATCTAACCTAATCTAACCAACCTAACCCCTGTTAACCCAACCTAATTCTTACCTTATTCAGATGGGCAAGCTTCAGGTTCATCAACTTCAGGCTCGTTGTCGTAGTCTTTGTGGGGATGGCAGGATGTACTGACGCCTGCTGCTGACGGTCACAGTGATGAGGATATAGATGACCTGTGTCGATCAAAAATCTATGGATTTTGTCATTTTTATAATTCTTAATAAACAAATAATGTGCTAAATATTGTGTTAAATATGCAGCACAAATACCAGACTGTTAAACATGCTCTTTTACATTGCGCCAGAACCATTCACTGTTATAAGTGCACGTTTGAATTTGAGGGGTACACAAAGGTCTCTGAATGATTAACGGCTAAGTGAGTATACCTGTGATCCTTCAAAGTAGAATATGTCTTCCACGAGTCACTGTAGATTATGGAGCCTGTACAAATATACTTAAAAATAATAGTTAATAGAGTATCCTCATCTCATTTAGTACCATATGGTTCACCGAGGGGTACAGAGAATAATTTCTTACTGGTGCTTTCAGTACCACTGAACAACAACAGCTGACATAACACACGACCTCGTTCGTACTTTCGTTTCACTATTAAAGTTTCATCGATCTCTACTTCAATGTCTTCACCCCCAATATTGTCTTGATTTTGAAACCCAAATTCAGTTACTTCTGAACAGAATGAACGCCAGTCAAAAGATGTATGCTTTGATAATTAATTGTAGACACTTGATAATAATTTGGTGATCCCAATGTTTGCTTAACCAGTGGTTAATAAAATACAATAATTTCCATGACAGCATTACAAAAGAAAAGTGCCTTATCTTGCCAAAAATCACACTCATTATCACACTTCAGGCACTTGACAGTTGCGGGTAGCACCCAGTGGTCACGGAAATATTGCACTACAAAATCGTTCTTATTATAAAAACGTGCAATAGAAGACATATAATTGTCAACGCAGCCAGTGCACAGCGAGGCCATTTCTAAACTGACTTGTAATTTCAAACTGCCCACCAAGTTGGCAGGCTGAACGGATTTTTACTTGATTTTGAAACAATTAATGATGATTGGCTCCCTCAATCACATGACAACATGGTGATGCATGAAACGGGAAAAAACTCCTCCCACGCATTAGGCAGGGCCTGGGCAAGAGGGGTAATGCACATATGAACACACGGGAGCGCTCTCCGCGACACAGACAACAGCAATTTCCAATCTAAATTGCGCAATATTTCGGTAACCGTTCGTTTCCGATGCAGATGCCATAGAAGAAAAGTGTCTTAGAATGGTCTGAACTATGCGAAAAAGTGTTTTTAATTAAGAAATTGATTTGGGCCCAATAATGCAAAAATACCAAAGGAACTTATGGAATTGAACTAAAATTTCTGGAAATGTTATATGTATCATACCAAATGAGGCTAATATATGACTGGTGACCGTCAGCGGCTCGGTAATTATGGAGGGTCTTTTTAGACTCGGTTTTGTACGCTGTTTACTTTCACTTCTATTTATTTTCTCGGCCAAATGCTTAGTTTTCGAGATATAGGCGAGTTGAGATAGCATCATACAGTCGTTTCATCAGCTGTGATGCGGCAGATGTAAACAATGTACCGTGGCCGTCAGTGGTTTGGTAATTATGAGGGTGTTTTTAGACAGATTCGTATGCTGATTACTTTTAGTTCTATTCATTTTCTTGTGTAAACGGTTAGTTTTCTAAATATAGGCGAGTTAAGATATAGTTAGGTTTCTTAGGTTTGTTTAGGTTAGCACATGATTTTAGCTCTTTTTATATTTTCTCAACATAATGCTGTACAGTATCTCCTAATAAAGTATGTGAAAACTGGGTATTTTTAAACCCATTTCAATGAAAACCAGCAGACGGTCATTATCTGATTAATTATTGAAAATGGAAACGAGAGTGCACAGAACCTGACCTAACCATATTAAGTTGCTATCCAGGGCCTACGAACACTTGTAACAGCAAGAGAAACTTACCGTACTTTAATATTAACGTGGGTTGAGTGTAGTGATGGCATCCGACTGTTACACTTAAAACAATCATTTTTCCTTTAAAGTCTGTTCCCTGCTGCAATTTGGACACTTGCACATCCTTCCAATAAGTCCATGATCACACATTAAGTTCTTAACACAATCTTGATCCTCAACAAGCACTTGCTATAACTAATTGAATACTATCATGACATAATTGCATAAGAGGCTAAGCATCTTCTTCAGGGAGAATAATAAGATTAGGAAACAGAAAAGTGCAGCCTATTAAATTGAAAACAAAAGACAATCAAGCCAATATTTAAGGTATTAAAACCCCCGGTGAGATCTTTCAGTGTTTATTTTACTTTTTGTCATCCAGATTCAAAAATTTATTGTTTAATAGTGGACAAGAACAGTGGACGCGACTGGAGAATGAACAGCGGAATATTTCTGAAAAAAAATTGTTTCTTTGCATCGAAAACATGTCGAGATGTGAAATTAATGCCATATACCTATTCAGTTTTCACTGTGTTTTACCCTGCAATTTCCCTCTTCTTTCATATCCTGCCCACTACAGGTGATTTATGATTGAAGGTAGAGAAAAATGATAAAAATAAGTGATATTCTCCGTTAGCCGGAACAATTGGCACAGAGCACTTCCAAGAATGAGAGATTTCTGGGTAACGAGACGACTCTCTCAAAGCCGGAAAAAAATCCCTCATCCCTGGAATTTTCTGGGTAATGGAAAAATTTTCTCGGGAGTTCCAGAAATTGCCCATTATCTCAAACCCAGAAAAATCTTCCCCCATCCCCGGAATTTTCCGGGTATCGGGAAAATTTTCTCAGAATTTTCTGGAAAATAGTTCCCAAATCCGGATTTTTCGGAAAATTCTGGCTTTGGGAACGATTTTCCGAGTAAATTCCAATTCTGGCTATCATAGAGTTCCGGGTTTGAGGGATTCCGGCGAATGGAGATACTGTATTACTGTACTTACGTACTTACAATTAAAGGAAAAAGATGTATAATTTTTATTAATTACAGTTACTGTACTATCATCCAAGTAACATTTCTGAAACAATGAACCAATTCTTTAAACTCTTGATGATAACCGTCTCATCCAATTTTACCAATGAGGGAAAATATAAGGTTAAATCACGAATTAAACACCTGTCAAACCTTTGAAAATCTATCCTAACTTATCCTCATCTAAAATTATACCTATTTTTACAAAAGTCTTACCTTATTTAGCCGATGGAGGTGTGGTGTGGTGGATGTAATCCTAGACAAGGTTCTTGAAACTCCAGGGCACGAGCAGT